AAGGTAAGATGTTGGAAAATGATTATGATTAGTGTTTAAGATTATAAGCTGGAATGTTACAGCAGGAATCGGTTTGTTTTTAATTAAAATGACGTGAAGATTATTGCGTTGAATTATGTTGTAATTACATGGTCAATGTTAGATCCCATATAGCAAATGGAAACCCATGTGTATGTGTGATTTTTTTTTTAATTACCACAATTCATCTTTTCCTTATAAAAACTGCACTTTTCTGCTGGAAAATCTGCAGCCGATAGAAAATGAAAGTTTTAGCGATAAAAGAAAACTAAAAATGTAATAAAATAAATAGGTGATGGTAAAAATTAAATAAACATTGAAATAAATAAGTAATGGTAAAAATTAAATAAATCAGTAAGCGGGAAAACTATATACATAAATAATTGAGAAAACATTTGCCGAATGCGATCTAACATCAACAGTAAATTCATCTGAAGTTTTTTATACATTCGTCTCTAACGAGAAATAGAGCTACTACTTCTTTTTCCCGTCAACCTTCGCGTGTGTGGAGTTTGGCTTGAGGCGGTGGTCACATTCACAATATGTAGGCTGGATGTTTAAGTGTAAGTGTTGTAAGCAAAAAGTGGGTGTTATTGACAGTTATTCATTAGTCGAGTTAGCATTATCAATTTATTACACGAAAGAGGAAACAATTTTTCTTTAGACTTTATTCAAGTTCTTGCCAGAAGTTTAATATAACTTAAGTAAAATACTAGGTAAGCAAAAACAGAATATTTCTATAACTATAAGTATAACAATATAAGTATGCAGTAAAAAGAGAAACTAAAACTTAAAGTAAAATTGAAAACTAATGACATAATATAATTAAAATTTATAAATTATTATTATTAATAATATATTTAAACACAACGCTTATAAATTATAATGGCCAGTGTGAGACTCGTGTTTTTATTTTAATTTTAGTTTAAGATTAAATTTCCTACTCGCACTCATTGTCAGAGACTAATAAACTATAAGTATTAACTTGTGCATTTTTTAGCATTATATTGATTAACGTATAACCTAATTAGCGAACATTTAAAAGTTGCAATTTGCAGTTTTGAAAATTATTTTTGTAACCAGTATTGGCAATAGGCCCATCAGTCTCACATCACCCTTCTTTCTATCACTGTCAAGTCTTTGGCTTTTCGACAAACTAGTAATAGTACAGTAGTTACTGCTGATTGGTTGTGGTATTAAGAATTGCACTCGGAGCTATAAATTTGTTTTATAATACATCAACTTTTAACACAATAATTGATATATAAATATTTGATAATATAATTTAAAGTGAGAATAAACAGGTATGTACTTATTAGTATTATTAGAACATGCACTATTAACAAATAGTGATATATGTTTCATGCATTTTTCTTTCTTTTGTTTTACCTATGTTTAGCAAATAATCAGACAGTACTATTAATATTATTATAACACTAGTAACAGCAACAGGTAGACTGAAGCTTTATTAGTTTGCTACTGTATCTGATCTGTCCTGCTTGTTGCTAAAATGACATGGCCTGTCATAATGGGAAGCTACAAATGATTTCGTAATATTTATTTTAATTTTCACAGTATGAGTGGGACAATTATACTAGAAAAATTAAAAGAATTTATAGATGAATATTTGTTTTATAACTTAAAGAAGTAACAAGCTCGATCTTGTGAGATCAAGTAATAAATATAATTTGTTCACTGCTTGAACACAGCATTAAACAGACAAAACAAGAGTCAGGACAAAAGTATGTTAAAGTATCTGATATGCATTAAATGTAGCAACCAGTTCAGGTTTAAGTAAAAATAATAATTATATTGTGGGATAAGTTAGGGTTACAACAAGTCTGTGTTGATGCACATGCTAGTACATTATGAATAGCAGGAAAGATACCCAGGAGATCAGCAGTAAGTTTATGGACTTAGAGTACTAAAATCTGTGGTTCATTTTTCCTCTGAGGACAGAGTTCAGATAGCCCATTGTGTAGTTTTGCTATTATAAAGCACAACAACAATAGGAAAAAGAAGTGAGAACTGAAATATTTTCAGAATATACCACAGCCATAAATTAAAGGTTTTTACTTGCTGTTTATGTCAGTTTTTCTACGACTCAATTCAGTTTTGTTTTA